AGAGGAATCTGTCCACCGCCGCCGCCTCGTCGTCGTCCTCGTCGTCGGCCGTGGCCGCTTTGCGCTCGCCGGGTGTCGCCGGCCTGGCCGCCTCCTGCTCGGCCGCGGCGTCGCTGTGCACCCGCAGCCTGGACAGGAAGACTCTGCTCATGAGGCACCGGCAGGCGCTGCAGCTGCAGCCGTCGGACCGCGACTGGGTGAGGCAGCAGCTGCGGCGAGGTTGCGTGCACGTCTCCGACCGCCACCTGGCCGCCGCCGGCCTGCGCCCGGTGCTCTGCACGCTGGACACCACGGCCGCAGAGGTTGCCGCCCGTCTGCTCCAGCCAGGCCACAAGGGCGGCGCCGGCGTGCTGAAGGTGCTGGGTCGGGGGAGCGAGCCGCCGCGCACACCCCCCTCCCGCCTGCCGCTGCCCTCGGGGGGCGCGGTGGACGGCGCGGTCGCGAGCGCGGCCTCCGACAACGAAAGCTTCAGCCTGAGCCCCAGCGCCGAGAGCGTGTCCGACCGTCTGGACCCCTCCAGCGGCGGCGGCGGCTCCTCGTCGTCGTCCGAGGAGCTCGAGGCCGACCCGGGCCCGCCCCGCTGCCGCTCTCCGCAGCCTGGGCCCGAGCCCTGCGCCCTGCCTTCGTCCCCGACGTCCTCCCCGCCGCCGCTGCAGCCCAAGGCCGCGAGGGGCGGCGACGGGCCTCGGGCGGAAAAGGCGGCCGCGGAGAAGGCGACCCCGCCGCCCACCCTGTACGTGCAGCTCCACGGAGAGACCACCCGGCGGCTGGAGGCGGACGAGAAGCCACTGCAGATCCAAAATGACTACCTCTTCCAGCTGGGATTCGGGGAGTTGTGGAGGGTGCAGGAGGAAGGCATGGACTCGGAGATCGGCTGCCTCATCCGCTTCTATGCAGGTAAGGGATCACCTGCGCTTGGATGTGCGGGGTGTAAACACTGATATGTACCGAGAAACGATCCAAATGCGCCGCTGTTTGCCCAAACCAAGGGGACGTGCAGGTCCTGGTGAGTCTTTGTTGTCACTTTTCTATAGCTTTCAAGTACAGTCTGTGTGAGTTGAGCCATTAAATCCGTGAGTTTGAGTCAATCTTGAGGGCTCCGAGGTTGGAAAGTATGTGGAGCAGGTGGCAGGTAACCTGGAAGTACAGGAAGCAGATATATCTGAAAGAGACAGTAGAGCATTTCATAATAAAGGTGTTTCCTTGAGGCCTCTCCTCGTGGGCATGTTGAGGTTGAGACAGTTTGGGATTTCAGGGAAACCAGTAAGTGCACATAAACTGGCAGAAGAAGCAAAAATATTCTAGGACACCCTCCCGACATCTGCCTGTTGGCAGTTTACCATTCTCGCTCTGGGCATCCACTGCCGTCAGCTGTTCTTTGTCAACTGGTGCACTTGTTCTGCCCTCTGCCATGCTTGTTTGCCTACCGGAGTCCTTATGAGAAACCTAACAAATAGGATCCTTTTTGGTGATACTTCTAAACACCATTTTATTTTTGCTTTATTTCAGTTTACGCTGCAGATTTTATTCTTGTATCAAAAAAGCTTTTATGTGTTTCTCTCATTTTTTTTTCCTAGTCTTTATAGTCAGAACTGACCATTGCTATATGACTTGCGATAAACCCAAAGCCAAACTCCTTCCAACTTATAGCAACCCTATAGGACAGAGTAGAACTGTTTCATAGGGTTTCCAAGACTGTAATCCTTATGGAAGCCGACTGCCACATCTTTCCGCGGAGAAAGATGGGTTCGAACCACTGGCCTTTCGGTTAGCAGCCAAGCGTTTTAACCACTGTGCCACCAGGGCTCTTTGTGACTTGCGGTAGGGTTCCCAATAGGAATATGACCTAAAATCCTCCCTATTGTTTTTGCAGTCTCAGATAAAATTATTGACTATGGGTGGCCAATGTAAAGTTTCTCTTTGGGCTAAAGACTTGGGTGGCACTAAATTAGGGAACTATAGGTCCTGGCTGTTATATTTGAGCTTTGTAAATTGTTTGCATTCTTTCCTTTATTTGGATTGAAGTATTATGCTCTTAGTGATTAAGGATTTTAATTTAAAATCAAGTTAGCACAGCAAAATTAAATCGGGAGCATTAAATCTCCACTTTTACTTATTCTGGGGTGTAGGTGATGGTGAAAAAAATGATCATGCTTGTAACTTGATTAGGCTGTAGCCATTCTTTCAAATTTGTGTTTTTTTGGTCCAACTTGTGCCCTAGTACCAGGTTAGTCAGTTTGAATGACTAGATCTTTACTCCCATGCTGAAATATGCAAGACTTGTAGCATTCCTGGTGAGACGTTCAAGTTTCATTGAAGTTGTTCTGAAATTCTTCAGTGGATTTTCGTTGGATTTTTGCCTTGTGAAGAGAATCGAATCATAATACAATAGCATTTGCAGTATCTGAATATCATATCTCAGCTGGATGGTATGCCTTTTAAAGTTTATGTCCCAAAAAATAGGTGATTTTTCATGTAGGAGCCACAGCTGTACATAGCTCAGGTAATTTGTAAAATATTGTTACTTTTACAAAAGCATTAAATTGTAATCACGCTTGAAACGAGAATGATTATTTTGTTAACATGAGAATGAGAAGTGCCCTTATGACCAAACTCTTAAATTGAAGGAAATATTAATAAAGTAGGGAATGTATTAAATACACAGTATTTTGACATATGTTATGCGGAAAGAGCTTGAAAAGTTTTGCTTCTGATTGGATATGTTTGTTGATCCTGATAAATAAAATATCCATGGGAAAGGTTTTGGGTGTTACACTCATGAAATTTAAATCTTTGATTCCCCTTGTCTCTTTCAGAGTTTCGGAAATAATTCTGAGTGGATGATATGCAGTGGTTTGTTTTTTTTTTTTGACATGTCAATTTAAGAATGATACGGGTTCTTTCTGCTTAAATCTTAAATTTCTTATGTGGTCATTTTAATCTTTTTGTTTTGCTCTTTATGAAGAGCAGTTATTAACTCATTCTGAACGTATATCCTCTATTTCTGTGTCACAACATAAATATATATGTGTGTGTGTCTGTGTGTACACTCATAATAACTAATGAGATGGGGATGTCACACACAGTGTCCAACTTATTCTTAAATATGAAGCCAGTGTACTAGTGTCATACAAGGAGGGTGGTTGATTGTTATGTCTAATTGCCCATCTTGCTTTTAATGTAAAGTTGAGCTTACTTTAAGCCTAAATTGATAAAGTAAATGTATTAATACTCATTTTGCCATAGAACAAAACTTAGCATATGGTGAGTTTATTGGAACTTGTACAAGGAAGTTTCGTTATTGAAGAACAAAAAGGCCTTGTTATAAAGTGGTCTCACCCACTGTGAGAACACTGTCAGGACTGTGCATATAGTGAAGGTTTGCACTAGGCTGGAGAAGATTCCTGGAAATTGTCCCTATGCTCCATTGGAATGCCGGGCACCCCAACAGAAGAATGTTACATTTTGGTAGTAATTTTTCTTAGGAAGGGGATAATTAATATTTGTTTTAGATGACATTCTTTAAGAGAATGTTAGAAAATTCTGTATCCCGTTTGCTTTTGTGATTACTTATATAACTTCTTAAATTTGTTGTGTGTATTTTTGTTATGTGTAGTTGGAGTTAAGGATAGACTAGTTGCCTTTGAAGCCTTTAGAATATTTTCCAGTATTTAAATTGAGCTCATTATCAGCTGTCTATCTAATTTATCTAGTCAGTTACATTTTTTTGGGGGGTGGGGGGAAGCTTTCGTCCAGCACAGAACTTTCGTTCTCTTGAGGGTCATCTTTCAGTTAAATTTTAGAATTTCTAACCTGACTCAAGTTATTCTTTAAAGGCTTTGAAAGACATTTGTGGACTGCTTTGAATATTTAAATATTTATATGGGTAAAGTAAAATGAAAGTTTCTAATGAACTTGAAGGCAGGCATTGGATAAAAGGTGGTAATTACAGAGATGTTGATGAAAACTTAGCTTGAAAACTGTTACTGCACCTATCAAATAACCATGTTCTTAGCTGATTTAAAGTTTGAAAAAATTTAATTTTTTTAATTAAGTATGTTAACATCTAATTTCTTTTTAAAATCAGACATCCTAAATTTTATCTGCAAGAGTAATTTCAAGTTTTAGGATAAAAAATAATTCAAGAGTTTAGGTTGCCTCACGTAAGGTGTGGACTCTTAAACACTAGTGAGCTTGTGTTTTGGACTCCCTGGGGAGTCTAGTCATTCATGAAGGGCAGTATTAAACAACTATGTTTTTTGCAGTTTTTGACTTTTTTCTATTAATTTTTAGATCTTGTGGCCTCACTATTTTAGTTCAGGTTTTAATTATGAGAAAGGAGGGTTGTTGGCAGAATGGAGAGCAAACACATCAACTGTGCTTAGGGAGTCCTGGACAAGATATTTTTATGTGTGACTCTTTGGACTGGTCGGAGAACAATCTCGTTACCCCTCTCATGTTTCTTCTCTTTTGGGAATGATCAAACCTTACGTGGTTTCCTGTATGGAAACCAAGAAAGGGTCGTTCAGCATTAAGCTGTAATATTGATGAGCAGGTTCTTATTACTATAATTACAGCAGTATTGAGTAACGTGGTATGAACATGTGACACCAGTGTGTGCTTGAATAGTGTTTTTAATTTTAAGGACAAAGGGTTTTAATTATTTTTTCTTTTATATTTTATACATTCTGTATTTTGTGGTTTTTGATGTGAAGTGCATGCCCTAGTTTCCTTTATATAACTAGGTTTAGTGACATCTGTAATACCTTGGGTTTTATTGTGTTCAAAAATCTTAAAGGGCTTTTGTGTAAATTATCTCATTTGTCCTTTCAGAAGCATTACTAGGGAGGAGTCAGCGTCAATCCTCTTTTCAGATGGAGAAACTGATGCACAGAGGCTTGACTCGTCTGGTTTTTCAGCCCTTGGTAGAGCTGGGAACAGAGAGCTTGGATATTCTGTTTTGCAATTCATATCACTTTCCATGAATTGAAGCTGAATTTCATTTACACTTGAATCTTTCACTTGGTTAAAAGCATTCAGAAAATACAGTATTTTTTTGCTAATGAGATGATATTATCCTGTAGTCCAAAGTGGTATTCCTTGTGAAATGTGGATGGTTCTACTTTTATCGTGCTGCCTTTAAAACTAAGAACCAAGGTGGACAGCTATAAGGAGGCAATACAGAAGGTGTACTAAAGTGCCCTAAATGTTCTGGTTTCAAATAGTTATACTTGCATTTACATTGATATGAAATAAAGTTTGTATAATGTTTCTTCTCTTTTTCAAGCGTGCCTCATTTGTTAAACTGTAAATCTTGATTGGGAAGTAGAGAATTAACACTTTATCTGAAAAGTGTGTAACTTTTGAGTGCGGAGGTGTGACAATTCAGTTCTAAAAAATGGCCTTAGTTGTATGGTAAAGTACTGAAAATACTCATCCTGAAAGGTCTTATTTGCTTAAATCTTTTCTTATAAAGTATAACTTATTTGTACGTTACTGATAGTGCTTTATTGCTATTCCATGCTGTTGTACAATTTTTATAATTCATATGTTATACAAAAATAGAGAGTAAGTTATTCTCCCTGAATTTCAGTTATTCCTAAAATTGTGTGTCTTTTGTACCCATGCTTACTGAAATAATTTTAGGGAGATGGTATAGGTATAAATAAGTTTGTATAACGTTTCAGGTTGAAAGCTGTATCTTTTTGTTGCTATAAGATTGTTAAATAACCACCTCAAACGATTGGTTATCCAGATATTATTTTTTGAAGTGTAAGGTGTTTTTGTTGGTTCTCATTCTCCTTCTTTTTAGAATCCTGAATTTCGTATTTGATTTATTGATAGCATAGCATTCGTTGGCATTGTGTATGATCCAAGCTTAGTAAAATAGTTGGGCA